CATTGTGTTAAAATCTTGGAGAATGTTCAACATAGTCATATTTGGAAGAAAGACTTTGGAGAAATTGCACCTGTACACAATCTATAAATGGAAGGATACGATATCCTTTGATTCCTTGATAAATTAACTTCTGAACTTTAAACAATTAGCCTTCCTATCATTCCCCTTTTTAGTGCCATTTTCCCTTTCTTTTGGCTACCCCACCTAAAGCACATTTAGAATTCTTATTTCACTGTACTTTTTGTGTTATAATGCATGTCAGAGTACTGCATTTGTGTCTGAGAAAGGGAAGTGTTAGCAATAATCTTTTCCCCTCTTGCCCTCCCTTATTTCTTATTGCAGCCCCTGCTTCATTTAGTTTCTCACAGAGCCTTTCAGGGGAGGATTCCAGCAACAATGATATGCTAAGCTTATTTCATCCATCCATTCATTTCACAATCACTGAGGGTCCTCATGGGCCTCCCATCAGAGTATAGGAGCTCACAACCGAAGACAGACTTGGACCTTGTCCTCATCCTATGGCTCAGAAAACTCTTCTGTATTACAGGTGGACAAACTATTTGATAGTTTCTCTGGTGATCTGTAGCTGACAAAATTAAATAGAGTGCTCTTTTCTGGGAAACAAGGAGTTCTAAACAGAACAGACCTTCCTGGCAAAGACTCTGAACAAACCACATGAAATCTTGGAGCCCTTTGTCCTCCTCATGTCCTGGGTCTATTCTCAGATGGGGCATGAGATTGTGTACAAATTCTGACATTTTGAGAGTCATTGGCTTCCATTTTGGATTTTAATGTTCTGGTGGGCTCCAGACACTGGCCTTGGTTTTTTGTTTTGTTTTTGTTTGTTTTTTGGTACCAGGGATCGAACTCGGGTCATTGCGCTTTCGAGGCAAGTGGCAGAACCATTGAGCTAAATCCCTGGCCCTGGCCTCAGGATATCCCTTTTTTTTGGTATCGGGGATTGAACTCTGGACTTTGCACTTGTGAGGCAGGCAGCGGAACTACTGAGTTAAATCTCCCACCCTGGCCTTAGTAGCTCTATTTTTGGCATCTGGCATTATGGGAATGTTTGTGGAATCTTTTTGTTGTTTGTTTTGAGACAGGGTCTACACTGTGTAATTGAGACTAACCTGGAACTCACTATGTAGTCCAGGCTGGTCTCGAATTCACAGCGATCCTCCTGCCTCAGCCTCCCAAGTGCTGGGATTACAGATTTGTGCCACCTTGCCTGGCTGTTTGTGGACTCTAAATGCCATATTAGTGGGAACTCTTCCTACTGCCATATTGTCTAATCAAGATTATTTCTTAGGGTCCGGGGATTTAGCTCAGTGGTTCCACTGCCTGCCTTGCAAGTGCAAGGACCCAAGTTCGAACCCCAGTATGCCCCCCGAAAAGATTAGCTCTTAGTAAACATTTATGACTGAATAGCAACAAATGCTTAGCTTCCTGGCTCTTAAACCAGGGTATAGTGACACAGCATCCCCTATTGCCTCGTCTTTTAAAATAGTCTGCTGGGAGGATGCTCCCTTTTTTGATATGGCATATGGTGGCTGCATTAATACGTAGCTCCTAGTTGCTGATTCTCAGTACCTCTTGTCATCAGTTATTTTTTCAGATCATCATCCAAGCAAGTAAGTCCCAGCCTACAGTTCTGTCTATTTTCATGTGCTTACTTTGCTTTGTGTGTGTCTTCTTCTGGCTCTCTTCCCATAACCTTGCTACTTTAAGAAATAAGATTATTGCCCAGGTATTTAGCTCAGTGGTTCTGTCACCTACCGCAAAGGTCTGGAGTTCGATCCCCAGTTCAGAAGAAAAAAAAAGAAAAGAAAAAAGAAAAACAGATGTAGGCTTATTAATTCCTAGTTTTTTTTTTACTGTATTTAACCAAAATACAAACACATCTCCAATTATATTCATCCTATTGACATTTTGTGGAAAATTGGGTTACTTTTTTGTTTGCTTAAAATATTAGAGGAGTCGTATCTTGGGCAGAACCATCATGTAGGAAGAATAGTAAATATTCTTCTGTTGAGGAATATTCCAGCAGCTAAAGTTATTTACTTTTCTATTAGTCTTTTTTTGTTGTTGTTGCTATAATGAAGTACAAAGGTAGCTGCTTTATAAAGAAAAGAGTTTAGTTTAGCTTACAGTTCTAGAGGTCTAAGGTTGAGGTGCCACATCTAGTAATGCCCTTTTGATGGCAATGTCCTGATGTGGCACAGGATATTATATGGCAAGACACAGGGAATGTCTGTGCACGCACGTGCGCGTGCATGTGTGTGTGTTGTCTCTGGTTTCTCTGCTTATAAAGCCACCAGTATTCAGTCAGTCTCCTCCTTGATGATTTAAGTAACCCTAACCACCTCCCCAAGGCCCCACCTCTAACACGGTAACACGGTAGTCACTCAGAGTAAGTTTCCATCCTCTTAATGCAGTGGGGATGAAACTTCAATGAGTTTCAGAGGGGACTAACCATATTTATTTATTTATTTTTTTGGTACCGGGGATCGAACTCAGGTCCTGTGGCAGCACCACTGAGCTAAGTCCCCGGCCCACCATATTTAAACTGCACTAACCTTTTTCCTGAAATCAACCTCCGAGAAAGGATGACTATGGGCTTCCTTGCTTCCTTCCTTCCTCCCTCCCTTCTCTCTCTCTCTCTCTCTCTCTCCTCTTTCCCTCCCCACCCCCGATATTGAACCTAGGGCCTTTCACATACTTAGCACGTATTCTGCCACTGAGGTACCCTCAACCCTTTTAATTGTTTTGAGACAAGATCTCACTAAGTTGGCCACCCTTGCCTTGAACTTGTAATCTTCCTGCCTCAGCCTCCTAAGTAGCTGGGATTATAGGCATGCACCACTACCCCTGGCTGATATGGTGCTTCTTAAGACACTAGGCCTTCTAATACAGACTGTGTACATTTGAATAGGTAACAAAGCTAAGTTTTAGACGTTTTAAGTAATAAGACCATCCTTCTGCTGATGTATGCCAATATTTTGCACTTGAATGCAGCTTTTTCTTATTTTCTAAGTATGTATCTGTTATCTCTTTATCAATGAAGTTAGTAAGAACTGTTTGTATAACATTGTCCAGCTTTTACTCTGAGACAATTTTATAGTACCCAGACAACTTTTAAAGTAACTGCTTTGCTCCTGTACTTGTGTGTGTGTGTGTGTGTGTGTGTGTGTGTGTGTGTGTGTGTGTGTTTTATGTGGAGAAAGATTTAGATTTACAGTGTCACTAAGATAATAAATACAGAGAGATTTTTGCCCCTTTACCACTCCCAAGGATATTCTAGAGGCATTTTTTGGTTTTCCTAATTGGATGTGTGGCTGACATTGAATAAATTTAAAGAATAGTAAGTCCCTGACTTTACAAACATTCGAGTTGGGAACTTCCACAGGTGTACAGTACAAGACTCACTTTGTGGGCTTATGAATGAATCCGACTTATGTACAATTCTCCCAGATTGGAATTCATTCGAAAGTCAGGGACTTAACTGAACTTGAATGCATGATGAGGGGTAGTGCAGTTCCACAGCAATGGGGACAGAGGAGAGCATTTGGGGGCACAGGTATGTTGATGGAATTTTTAGCATCGCTGACTGCTTTATTTTCCATTATAGAACTTGTACTCATTTACTTATGTTTATCTCCATTCCCTTAGAAAGCAAGCTCCATGAGAAAGAGAATTTGCTTTGTTTATATTGTATTATTTGACTCTAATTGAGATTAACATGAAATTCATGCTGGAAAGTCATGTGAGGAGACTTCAGATGGAAAGAACCACACAGGCCAAGTATCCAACTGACACAACATCTGGTTTCAGGCCTCCTCTATTATGCCCAGAACACTATTTTGAATTTGTTTATATGTAAATGGCATGTGCTACGCATAATATTCCACATCGTATCTTTCTCACTTGTTGGTATACTGTAAGATTCATATTTTTTTTTTTAAAGAATAGGTAGTTCTAGTTCAGTGGTTTGCACCAGGAGCAGGTTTTGTCCCTCAGGGGACATTTGGTGATGCCTAGAGACAATTTTGATGGTCACAAGTAGAGGTGGTACTAATGATAACCAGTGAGTAGAAGCCAGGTTTGCTGGTAAACATCCTGCTCTGCAGAGTATCACCACAATGTAGAACTGTCTAGGCTGATTTGCTGCACTTCGGAAACTTGGGCCATTTCCTCTGATCTGTAGCATAGTATTCTCCTGCTTTCTTTGTCTATTCCCCTATCCATGGATATTTAGGCTGTTCCCGATCTCTGCCATGATGAAGAGCGCCGCTGGTGTCTGTGCACAGGAATTGCTGGTAGTCACCCTTTGCCCTAGGAAATGCTTTGCAGATGCTGCCACAGAGCGGCTGGCCCTAATGGCTCCCACAGCACTGCTTGGGGTTCCAACTCCATGCATCTTTACCAGCACTTGGCATTATTTAACTTTTAAATTTTTGCCAAACTTGAAAGATTGACCATTCATTTATAACAATTTGGCATTTTCTGATTATTAGTAAGGCCAGATAAACAGAATTATTCACAACCTAAAGCACTCTACATGAAATTGGTGAAAACACTTTTTTTAAACCACCTATCACCCCCTCAAGGTGCAAATATTTTTTGGCATGCATGCACCACTTCATTTTATTCAACTTTTGTATCTGTGATATGCACTATAAAACTGTACATTTTGGAAGACTAAACCTGTTACTTGCCAATAGAGGTCAGTGATGCTCAGTGGTTTGTCAGAGGTGTGATTTTTGACCTCCCCATAGCAGGAATTATTTGGCAATGCCTGGAGAGGCTGTTGGCTGTGAGGATAGCAGGTGAGCTCCAGGCACCTTTGGTGAGAGAGAGGCCAGGGTGCCTCTTCCACCCTCCCAGGCACAAGCCTGTCCCCAACCGACCCCAAAGGCTGGTCTGGCCCCAAGTGGCAAGAGCGCCAAGCTGGGGAAGCACGGGGCAGAGTCTGACAGAAAGACTGTGACACTCTCTGGATGATAAAACTGTGTGCTTTTATTATGAGGTGAAACTAAGAACAAACACTTAACGAGGCAACTGAGCCAGTGGAGGTGGCTCCGGGAGCATCCCGGCAGCCGGCGGCTCTACTGGGGAGGGAGGAAGGCGCCATGGCGATGGGTGGCCTGAGCGGGTGACTGCTCCTCAGGGACCAAGGGGCGCTGCTCCTCACGGACCAAGGGGCGCTGCTCCTCAGGGACCAAGAGGCGCTGCTCCTCAGGGACCAAGGGGCGCTGCTCCTCAGGGACCAAGGGGCGCTGCTCCTCATGGACCAAGGGGCGCTGCTCCTCAGGGACCGAGGGGCGCTGCTCCTCAGGGACCGAGGGGCGCTGCTCCTCAGGGACCGAGGGGCGCTGACCCTCAGGGACCGAGGGGCGCTGGCCCTCAGGGACGAAGAGGCGCTGGCCCTCAGGGACGAAGAGGCGCTGCTTCTCAGGGACGAAGAGGCGCTGCTTCTCAGGGACGAAGAGGCGCTGCTTCTCAGGGA